CTGCGGCTTCCTCACTCGACTCCGTGTCTCATTGCATTTTCAACGAGGAAAGCGCTCGCTCGCGAAATGCTTGATTATCAGGGAGTTAATAGAAGTGGAAACAAGCGGCGAAGAATGATGGCGCATGCAGAATAGTACAGTGCGCGGGTTCACAAAACATTTTCAAGCGCAAGTTGCTCCCAAGTAAATCTCGAATGTTTTCTTTTCTTTTTACGACTAAGGTTGTTTCATCTCGCATAAAATGAAACAACTGTGTTTGTATGCGTGTGTCCGTGTATGCAAGCGTATATGTATCTCTCCGCATAACGAATACATTGTAAGGACAAATAAAAATTAATGAGTTGCTTGTACGTTTTTCTCTACCATTGTACGTATATATGTCATATACAGGGTGCCCCAAAATTCATGAGTCAAAATATTATAACCAGAAGGTTCTCGAAAATGAAATGAAAGTTTAAATATAGCCAATTATGGACTACATTTAGATAGCCATCTGTCCATCAATCATACGTGTGATAATATTAGTGAGTGCACTTTAGCGCGATTACTAGTACTCACATGTATTTTAAGCATGGTCTGTAATTGTTACTTAAACTTCTACATTTGAGAAATTTTTGCTTAAAATAAACATTTAGAAATGACTTTATTACACTTACTTTTTCGAGAACTTACTATATTATTTTCTTACTATATTATTTTGTTTAATTGGTGACAGACTGATTTCAGCTGTAGGAACTAAGTAAGGCCTTGATGCTTCTGTAAATGAGTTGAAAGAAGAAAAGCAATTCATATTCGAACCATAATATCAATGGTAAAACTACTGATAATTTAAATGGTACAATTATATTTCATGGCAAACTATTCGGCTGAAAATATTGCTAGAATACTCATAAAATTCATCTCACGTAAGACAATTTTTTACGACTTTACGTGAGATAGAAACAGAGAAACTGTCTCTTCACTTCCGATAGCTGCAAAAAGATGGCTTTTTTGCATATCTTTTTAACGTCAGTCGTACCTTGTCGACGTTGTAAATAAATCAATGAATTCGCTTACGTCCGTGAGATACACATACACGAAAGCGATCTATACATAATGAGAAAGCTTCTCATCTTACATAGCCATAAGGATAAGTAATTGTTACAGATTGTAACGCAGGTCATAAAATTACAATTACCAATTACTATTTTTTTGTAAACGTTTATTTATTTAATGCCAATTGGGTGAGATAAAAATTTGCACCTTCAGTTTCCTTCGCAAATAGAAACTAAAGATGAGATACATAAATATGTCCACAAAGAATTTGGAATAGTATAAATTTGGAATATATTAATTATTATAAATATATTAATAAATAAATTTATTTGTTCGTACTAAATATTAATAAATAAATTCGTAATGTATTATATTACAATATATATTCACAATTTGTGTTGTTTCCTAAAAATTTAGTGACTCGAACAAGTTACGAATAAATAAATTTTTTTTTCAATACAGCGAGATTCCTGCCGTCTGGATAAGGATACTTTGACAACACGTTCTTGTAAACTTTATAACAAAATTATTACGCCATGACGATACCTATAACATACAAACAAAATTAAACAAAAAGTTGTTTAAGTTATATGTAATTTCACAATGTGACATTCCAAACGAAAAATTATCTCATGCAAGTATGGCTTATGTAAAACATTAGAAAATTTATCGAATAATTTTAGCAACTGTAGATTCTTGTAAGCCTCAATGTTGATAAAAATCCTCTACTACCATGCAATTTTAGATCGTTAAATTTTCCAATGAGTCTGCACATTCAGCGATTCCTGACCAGTAAGCCAACAATCTACGCATGCAAAAGGCATCTGCAGACGGCGTTAAATAGACAAATCTTGTAGAGTTTATGCGTCCACCGTTGAGATTAGAAATGATGAATTTGCCCGCGGATTTCGCGTTTGGTGCTCGCGTGCGAGGTAACGAGGGGTTTATTTTACTTCGGCCGCGAAATTGGGATACGTCCATTTCGTCATTCTGTGCGTCCTTGAAATAAAGGCTGGAAGCGCTTTTATCGATAATGGCCGTATGCATAGATCGCGAGCGGGCGCGAGGGGCGAACTCTTCAAACTTCCATGTCTTATCGCATGAAGTATGCAAGCGCTGCATAAAATTATACAGGATAACGAAGGCGGTCTGGCCATCGATGCGACGAAGATACGCTATTGCGTTTCGGCCTTAAGCCGTAAAATACGAGCGTAGCCTCGTGAATAATTATGACTCGTGTAATCCGGAATCGTTCTCGATGCGCGGCGAACGAAATAAACCAAAATAGCCAGGCACAAAAAGATCTATAATCTCCATTTTATATTCTAAACGTATTGTAATTTAAGCGCTATATATTTTCTCAGTTTCTCTCCAAATGAATTTCATTTCTTCAAAGACCAGAAGCAATCAGAAGCCTCAATTCTCGGACAAAGTTAATTTTATTTTAAATAAATTATTTCGTTATATATATATATATGTATATATTGATAGAAAGTATCTAAATGGTCTATCGCGACTGGTTTAATGATCACACGACGATTGGTGTCAGATCTAAAAATAACAAATATACGTAATGTATCGAGAAAGGTAACATAGAGACAACGATACACTTATTGCTAATCGGCCATACTCAAGATTAGACAGCCTTTGTGTGACTGCGATATGCAGTGTCAACAAGACAACATATGCGCACGTCGACTTCAACGCGTTATCGTTAACCGCGAAATTTCCTGCTGAAGGTTAAAGCGCATTTGCCAGTTCCTATGTGCGCGCAAATTAATATCCAACTTTATTATTCCTCAACTTGAGAATTCATTACTAATAAATATTTCGCGTTTCATTACGCCTTTATGTATCGTTCTATCAGACGCTCAAAGATCGTTTTTAACTACACGATTCAACAGCCGTACCTCCTTTTGGCCCGTGTTACTATTTCTCCGAAATTCACTCGGTACATGCGCGATGGCGCGGATCCGCGCGGGCGGGCTCAAAAGCGGCAAAATAAGCGGTCATCGATTCGGCATTCGCCTTAAATACACACAGCCGCCACTGTGCAACGTAACATATGCGCCGCGACGTGTGCTAAAACGCGGAAGACAAATAGCGGCGCGCGGGGAATCGTGCGCCCATAAACAAAGTGCGCAAATTGCGACGCGACGCGACGTGACGGCGACGTCGGAGGGAGAGCGAGGACCCCAGCGCGATGTCGCCGGTTCCGATACGATTGCCTTCTATTATATTCCTTATCTCTATCAGGGAGACTCGCGAGCGGGCGATATCACGGCCGCGAGCGCGAGAGATCAATGTGACTGTCAAGAATCTCCGCTTCGCGACTGGGAGAAAAAAAGAAACAAGGGCAGGCAATAACAGAGTCGCTGGCAACTCGATAATAATAAAAAGAGATAAAAAAATAACGATTCTCATCTTTAGGATTCCATTTGATTTCATTTAACGAAATTATTCGATTGAGAATTTCGATTTAAATTAGAAAATAGTTCCCTATAAATATATACGTTCCTCTAAAAAAAAAAATTGGAGACAAATATTATTGAATTTCGATTAATTTTATTTTAATATTCATTTCGTACTTGTTAGACATTATTTTATTTATACTCTCGTACTATGTGGCATCTTCGTAAGAAAAGTGACATGAATTTAAAAAATGTATTCAGCAGAGAGGAAAGAAAAATTGCATATTTTTTAATTAATTATATATATAGCTGTGTTGTTAGATATCAAAGGAGTATATATAATGGTAATTCAATCCCTTGAGTTAAATAATATTTTGTTATTTTTAATTTCCATGTATGTCAAATCTAAATCAATTAATTTCTGTAATTTACGATTTCAAAGTAAACAACATCCATATTAATGTATGTAGTTAGTAAATAACGAAAATTTCAGTCTAATATTTAACATATTCTTGAGTTAAATTGTTTGGAAATTCCATTTAGT